AAAGATGGTGGAGCAGGGTTAGACGTATGGAAACGGCGCTTGGAGGTGGAGAGGCTGTGGGTGGGTGGGTGGAGAGAAGGTTAGGGTTTCGGTGGAGAAGAGAGAATCAAATGACAGAGATCGTGAATTCATTGGCCTTATTTCCCAAAACTATCTAGTAAGGGTAAAACGGTCATATCACTTGGGCTTCAGGGGGGTCTCACAAAATAAGTTTAGAATTTGGGTTTTTGGCTAGAGCAGAAAAAATCATAGGACTTATCCTTATATATTTTCAAAATTAGGGGGTTATCTCTCATTTACCCTATATATATATATATATATATATATATATATATATATATATATATATTAAAATGCATTTGAACTTTTTGGCCCTTGCGGTTTTATTTTTTTTGAAACTTTTTTTTTTATTTTTTTTTTCAGTAGGTCAACCGCCGTTGACCGTCGAATCTCCGGCATTGACTTTTTTTTATATAATTTTGTTTTATCTTAAAAAAAATATTTTAATTAATATTACTGTGTTAGCTGCTAAATTACTGTCTCCAGCAACTATTTAACTGTCGGAGACAGTAATTTAACTATTAATTGACTTTTTTTTTCCTTAAAAAAAATATTTTAATTAATATTACTGTCTTGGCTGCTAATTACTGTCTCCAGCAGTTATTTAACTGTCGGAGACAGTAATTTAACTGTTAATTGACTTTATTTTATCTTAAAAAATATATTTTAATTAATATTATTGTCTTGGCTGCTAAATTACTGTCTCCATCAGTTATTTAACTCAGGCAGTAATTTAACAGTTAATTGACTTCTTTTTTATTTTTTTAAATTACTTTTTCTGAAGAAAAATAAACTTATTTTAATTGATATTACTATCTTGCGTGCTAAATTACTGTCTCCAAAAGTAATTTAACCGTCTGAGAAGCGGCTTAATATTAATAGACGGACGGCTTCACCGCTATATATATATATATATATATATATATATATATATATATATATATATATATATATATATATATATTAAGCAGTCTCCGGCATTGACTTTTTTTTTTTAACTATTTTTTTCTGAAAATTTTTTCCGGTACGTCAACCGCCATTGACCGTTGAATCTCTGGCGTTGACTTTTTTCTTTTTCTTTTTATAATTTTATTTTTTCTTAAACAAAATATTTTAATTATTATTATTACTGTCTTGGCTGCTAAATTACTGTCTCCAGCAACTATTCAACTGTCGGAGACAATAATTTAACAGTTAATTAATTTTTTTTTTTTCTTAAAAAAATATTTTAATTAATAAGAGTTATAATTATAATAGGTCTCAATTAATAGTTTAGTTTTATTAGAATAGTTTAGTGACAGTGGATCTCGTGTGTTGGTGGATAGGTTGACTATTAAGTATTTAATTAGTATAGGTAATTATTTTCCTAGTTACATTGGGATTTTAAGGTTTTTCTTATCTTTAAATAGTCATTATTTGCTAGGATTTTATTATGCAGAGAAATAATAAAGAAGAGTTTTCTTACCGTTTAGTAAAGAATTATTATGATATGCAATGCAACAGATCGTATTAGCAAATAAGTTTGAATGACGTGGAAATATTTGAAAGACAAAAAAATTGGATGCCCTTTTTTTCTTTTTTTTCTTAATTAAGTGCTCTTGTCATGGACTTTTTGAGATTAACTCTTATTTAATATTATTTACTATAATAGTTTAGTTATTGGGTTATTAAAATTATAATTATAAGGGGATTTTGTGCATAAGTCTCCAACCAAGCATCTTTATTATTCTAGGTTTAGGGGTTATATTTTTTTTACCAATAATAAGCTCATCCCTTTAATATTTATTATAAATAAAGGAAACATTCATATATATGACAATAATACCTCCAACCCTTTATACCCAATTCTTCATTGTAACCCCAATTTAATCAATTTTGTCCACAAAATCCAATTTTGACCATAAAAAATTCAATTTTGACTTTTTTTTTCAAAAACTTTTTTTTTTCAAAAACTCTTTTTGCCGCCAGATTCCGGCGTTGACCGGCGGTCAAAGCCGGTCTCCGACGTTGAATTTTCGAATATTTTTTTTCTTTCGGATTTTTTCGCAGGTTTTCGGCATTGACCTTTGTTTTTTCAGGTCCGTTTTTTTCCGCCGCCGGTCTCCGGCGTTGACTTTTTTGTATTTATTTTTCATTTTTTTTTTTACGTCTGCCACTAAACGTTGACCGTGATTGTGCTGTCCCTCACAGTAAATTAACGTAATTATACTGTCAATGTCAGTTAATTAACGTAATTGTATTGTCGTTGACAATACATTTATATAATTGTACTGCCGTTGATAGTAAATTAACGTAATATTATTATTTTTAATTTTATGTTATTTATTTTTATTTTGTTTGATTTGTTGACAAGTCAACGTAATTATTTTATTACCTTTGACAGTAAAATAACTGTAAACACAATAATATTACTGTCAACAACATCAATACTATTATTTTTTCTGGGTTTTTTTGTTTTGTTTGAGTTATTCACGGAGTAATGTAGTAATATTACTGTCTATTATTGTAATATTACTGTAAACACAATAATATTCCTGTGGTTGACGGTAATATTACTGTTGTTATAGTAATATTGCTGTCAACCACATCAATATTATTATTTTGTTTAGATTTTTTTGTTTGTTTGAGTTATTCACGGACTAACGTAGTAATATTACAGTCTATTATTGTAATATTACTGTGGTTGACGGTAATATTATTGTTGTTATAGTAATATTACTATCACCCACAATAATATTAATTATTTTGGCTTTTTATTATGTTAACATTTGTTGAACGGTCAACATGGTAATATTACTCTATTACACAATAATAATAAGTTTTGTTGTGTTAATATTATTGTGCTAGAGATTAATATATCAATATAACCATGTTAAACTGTAGTATAGTTAATTTAATTTGTTTAACAGTAATATAGTTATTATTATTGTCAATCACAGCATTATTGTTGTTTAAACGAAAAAAAAAATTGTTACAGAATAAATAAAAAAAATTGAAAAAGTCAATGCCGGAAAACGGTGGTGGAAAAATCAGAAAAAAAAAAAAAAAAAAAAAAGTTAACGCCGGAAACCGGCGATAAAATCCGGAAGAAAAAAATAAGAAGAAAAAAAATCGAAAAGTCAACGCCGGAGACCGGCGGCAAAAACAATTTTTTGAAAAAAATAAAACGTTTTGGGTCAAAATTGAATAATTTGTGAATTTGGGGTCAAATTGAGATTAAATTAAATTAATGATGAAATTTGAGCATATTAAAGTATGAGGGGCTATTTTAATCTTTTACAAAAATCTAAACCATGTGTGGACTTATTTGTAAAATCATTTTTTGTCTGGATTTTTTTATAAATAAGTACCCTGATGGGGTACTTTGTAAAGACCTTTAATTATAATTGGTTTCAATTAATAGTTTAGTTGTATTAGAATAGTTAAGTGATATAGGATCTCGTGTATACAGTGGTTAGGTTGACTATTAAGTATTAATTTAGAGGGGCCTTAGGATATAGGTCCTTGGTGACAAAACTTATTTGAACTAAATGACAAGTCTAATTAAACATTTGCTTCACATCCTTTTTAAAATTCATTCCAAAA